TGAGGAGGGGGTCTGACGGGGGATGGGGGGGTTCTGGAAGGAAGGGGGCAGGCTGGGGCTGATGGGGGTTGAATGTAGACTGTGGGAGTTGGGGACCCAGGGCCGTGGGGTGTGGTGTGGGGCAGTGGAGCACAGGGATGTGGGGAGGGGCCTGGGAAGCAGGTGCGCTGGAGCAGACTGGTAGTGTGGGGCTGGGATATGTGGGGGCTACCAGGAGCATAGTGAGTGGGGGGCTGTGGGGCTGCGATCGGGGCTTGAAAGGTGGGTGGGGGGCTGGTGGGACTGGGATGCAACGTGGGAGGATGGGGGCTGGTGGGGGGCTGGGATGTGGGGGTGGTGAGGGGCTCAGAGGTGGGGGGCTCTGGGTGGGGCAATGGGGGCAGGAGGCTGAGGGGGGGTCAGGGCGCTGGGGGCAGGCTCCGTGGGGGGCCCTGGGGTTCACACTGCTCTCCCCCCCGCAGGCCGACGAGACCATGAGGCAAACAGACAGGAGCATCTGAACTGGGCTGTGGGGCTGGGGGGGGGCAGCAGCCAAGGCCAGGACCCTCCCCTGGCTGCCCCCTTCCCCCTGTGGCGTCCGCACTGGAGGTGGCCCCATACGTGGGGGGCCGGAGGCGCTGGCGGAGATGGGACCCCTGCTGGGGGAGGACACCAGCCAGGTGAGCAGGGGCCTAGGGGGCGCCCCCTAGAGGCGAAGGGCCCAAGCCCCAGCCCCCGATCCTGGGGCTGGATGGGAGCCGCTGCCTCGGTTGCATCTAGGCCCTTCTCTCCAGCAGGGGGCGGAGGTGGGGGCCGAGCCGGCGGGCTGGGGGGCCGCTGCGCAGTGGGGAGCCGAGGAGCTGGACGACGTGGACCCCGTGCGAGTCCTCACGCTGCCGCTCCAGGCCCAGCAAGCCATGGGGAGGATGGAGGAGTTTGTCTTTAAGGTAAGGGGCACGAAGCAGTGGTTGGGTGGTGGGAGGGAGCCAGGACTCCTGGGTTCTCTCCCTGGCTCTGGGAGGGGAGTGGGGTCTAGTGGTCAGAGCAGGGGGGGGGGCTGGGAGCCAGGACTCCTGGGTTCTCTCCCTGGCTCTGGGAGGGCAGTGGGGTCTAGTGGTCAGAGCAGGGGGGCGGGGCTGGGAGCCAGGATTCCTGGGTTCTCTGCCTGGCTCTGGGAGGGCAGTGGGGTCTAGTGGTCAGAGCAGGGGGGCGGGGCTGGGAGCCAGGATTCCTGGGTTCTCTGCCTGGCTGTGTCCTACACAGCTGTGCCCAGTCAGCTGTACCATGTTTGTGCTCTCTCTCTTCCAGTGCCAGGGGTGCGGGTCATGAGTTTGGGGGTGGTTTGGGGCTGCAGCAATGTGGGACCTGCTCCCCGGTGAGGCGGAGCCCCTGGCCAGAGCAGGGCTGGGGTCCACGTTTTTCAGTGCCCCGTGGGCCCCCCATCCCCATGTGGGTTCACATTGTGCAGCGGGGAATGGGGAGGGAAGGGGCTGTTCGGGGGTGGCCCCTCCTACTGCCTGAGCTCTTCGTCTGTGAGCATGTCCGTCTGTCCATCTCCACCTCTGTCACTGGGTGTTCGTCCATTCACCACTGGTCATTCCCATCCATTTGTCCAACCATCCATCCATCACTGGTCATTCCCGTCCATCCGTCCGTCCATCCACCCATCACTGGGTGTTCCCGTCCATTTGTCTGTCCATCCGTCCGTCCATCCATCACTGGTCATTCCCATCCATTTGTCCGACCATCCATCCATCCACCCATCCATCACTGGGCGTTCCTGTCCATCTGTCTGTCTGTCCTTCCATCACAGGGCATTCCCGTCCATTTGTCCATCCATCCTTCCATCACCGGGCATTCCCGTCTATCTGTCCATCCATCACTGGGCATTCCTGTCCATTTGTCCATCTGTCCGTCCATCCATCCATCAATGGGTGTTCCCGTCCGTCCATCCGTAAGTCAGTCATTGGGGTTTCCCGTCCATCCGTCCATCTCTCCGTCCCTGAGCACGCCCATCCATCCATCCCGCGGAGGCCATCCCTCCTCTTCCCCCCCACCCCCGGCACCTCCAGTCTCCCTCCGACCCTACCTGTCCCATTCCCCTGGGCCAGTGGGCGCCGCCTGGGGGCTCAGGGCGGGCCACAGTGGGCTAGCTGGTGGCATTGTGACCTCAGCAGCTGTGCTGCCTGGCCTCCCCGAGCATGCCCATGACAGCATCCAAGCTACCCCTGGTGGCAGGACCGAGAGGGTCTTTGCCCGGCCATGCCAGGGCCCACCCCGGAGCCAGGGGAGGGGATTGAGTGGCAGGGCTGGAGGTGGGCCAAGGGGTTGGGGCCTCGGTGGCAGCACGACCCCCAGCTCCACCGGGCTCGGCGCTTGGGCCCAGCCGGCCTCACCGGACCATGGGGAGCGGGGACGGGAAAGCAACCAGAGACGCCAGCACCAGCACAGAGGAGGACAAGGTCTGGAGAAAGGCAAGGAATTGCCTGGGGTGGGAGCCAGGACTCCTGGGTTCTCTCCCTGGCTCGGGGAGGGGAGTGGGGTCCAATGGTTAGAGTGGGGGGCTGGGAGCCAGGACTCCTGGGTTCTCTCCCTGGCTCTGGGAGGGGCGGGGAGAGTCTAGTGATTACAGCAGAGGGGGGGTAGCTGGGCACCAGGACTCCTGGGTTCTCTCCTGGCTCTCTCCATGCAGGTGTGGGAGGGGCGCTGGAGGGTCATCCCCTACGACGTGCTGCCCGACTGGCTGAAGGACAACGACTTCCTTCTCCACGGGCACCGCCCGCCCATGCCCTCCTTCCGCGCCTGCTTCCGCAGCATCTTCCGCCTGCACACGGAGACCGGCAACATCTGGACACACCTCATCGGTCAGTGGGACCCAGGCGTCCGGGGGCACTGGGTGGGACCAGAGATAGGTGCTAGGGGGCGCTGTAGTGCAAGGAGATGCTGCGTTTTATGTGGGTACATCTCAGCGCCGGGCGAGCCGTCCCCATGTGGCGTTATGTGCAGCTGTTCCCTAGCTGCCCCGCCCCAGAGGTGGTTGCATTTTGACTCTCCTCTCCTCCCATTCCAGGCTTCCTCTTCTTCCTCGTCTTGGGCATTGGTTACATGTTCAGCCCCAACATGAATTACGTGGCCCCCATCCAGGAGCGGGTCGTCTTCGGGACGTTCTTCCTGGGGGCCACCCTCTGCCTCTGCTTCTCCTGGCTCTTCCACACGGTGTACTGCCACTCGGAGAGAGTGTCCCGCACCTTCTCCAAGTGAGTGCCACCCCTGGGGGCGGGGCGCCACCAGGCCGGACACCTGGGTTCTTCTAGCCACCATTCAGGAAAGGAAGTGGAGTCTGGGGTGGCCGGGTGGGTGCTGGGAGCCAGGACTCCTGGGTTCTCTCCCCAGCTCTGGGAGGGCAGTGGGGTCTGGTGGATTAGAGCAGGGTGGGTTGGGAGCCAGATCTCCTGGGTTCTTTCATTGGCTCTGGGAGGGGACTGGGGTCTGGTGGGTTAGAGCCGGGGGGAGGGGCTGGGAGCCAGGACTCCTGGGTTCTCTCCCCGGCTCTAGGAGGGGAGTGGAGGCTAGTGGTTAGAGGTGGGGGGGGGAGCCAGGACTCCTGGGTTCTCTCCCCGGCTCTGGGAGGGGAGTGGTGCCTAGTGGTTAGAGGGGGGGGCAGCCAGGACTCCTGGGTTCTCTCTGCTGCCCCCGCAGGCTGGATTACTCGGGCATCACGCTGCTGATCGTAGGCAGCTTCGTGCCCTGGCTGTACTACTCCTTCTACTGCTCGCCCCAGCCCCAGCTCATCTACCTGGTCATCGTCTGCGTGCTGGGCATCACGGCCATCACGGTGTCCCAGTCCGACCACTTCGCCACGCCCCAGTACCGCGCGGTGCGGGCAGGTGAGCGCCCCTTCGCCCTGGGGGCCTGGATTGCAGGGGCTGGCAGTGGGGGCTGGGCACAGGGGCTGGCAGGGGGCCTGGGGGCAGGGGGAGGCTGGGGGGCAGGGGGCTGAACACAGGGGCTGGCAATGGGTGCGGGGGCTGGGCTCAGAGGGGGCTGGGCGTGGGGGTCCCTGGCAGTGGGGACGGGGGCTGGGCACGGGGGCTGGGCGCGAGGGCCCCTGGAGGCAGGGGCTGGGCGCAGGGGGTCCCTGGCAGTGGGGCTGGGCGCGGGGGGCCCCATAGGCAGGGACACGCCCTGACCCCTCTCTCTGCCCCCGGCAGGCGTGTTCCTGGGCTTGGGGCTCAGCGGGCTGGTGCCCACCCTGCACTTCCTGCTGGCCGAGGGGCCGGGGCGGGCGGCGAGCGCCGGGCAGATTGGCTGGCTGTTCCTCATGGCGCTGCTCTACATCCTGGGCGCGGCGCTGTACGCCGCCCGCGTGCCCGAGCGCTTCTTCCCCGGCAAGTGCGACATCTGGGTGAGTCCCCCGCCCGCCCGCCCGCCCGCGCATGGCCTGCTGGGAGCCCGGACGCCTGGGTTCTTTCTGGGCGCTGGGAGGGGACCGGGGTCTAGCGGTCAGAGCAGGGGACGCTGGGAGCCCGGACGCCTGGGTTCTCTCCCCAGCCTTGCTCCAGGCTCTGTGTGATCTTAGCGAACTCTTTTCTGTCTCTGTGAGTGTTTGTGCAACTTACCCCCTGGGTGGGGTGGGGCTGATACTTACCCTCCTCCTGGGGGGGTTGGGTGCCCAGGGAGGGGGCGGGGCCTGGCTTGCTCCTGCCAGGGGAGGTGGGCAGAGCCAGGCTTACCTCTCCCCCCTTCTCCCCCCCTCCCCGTAGTTCAACTCCCACCAGATCTTCCACGTGCTGGTGGTGGCGGCCGCCGGCGTCCACCTCCACGGGGTCTCCCAGCTCCAGGCCTTCCGCTCCTCGCTGGGGGGGTGCCTGCACCGAGAGCACTGTGCTGTGAGCCTGCCCCCCCCCCCGACCCACCGGATCCTGCCCTGGGGGCGTGGCCCTGAGCGACCAGATCCCGCTCCAGGGGGCGTGGCCCCGGGCACCGAGTGACCAGATCCCGCTCCAGGGGGCGTGGCCCCGGGCATCGAGTGACCAGATCCCGCTCCAGGGGGCGTGGCCCCGGGCACCGAGTGACCAGATCCCGCTCCGGGGGGCGTGGCCCCGGGCACCGAGCGACCAGATCCCACCCTGGGGGGGCGTGGCCCCTGGGCACCAAGCGACCAGATCCCACCCCAGGGGGCGTGGCCCCGGGCACAGAGCGACCAGATCCTGCCCAGCCGATCACATGACAGAGGGCGGGACCTCAGGTGACAACTGACCAATTGGCCCACTAGGAGTGTGGCCTTGGACCCTGACCAACCAATCACACCATGGAGTAGTGATATCAGATCCTGACTGACCAATTGCCCTGAGTGGGGCGAGACCTAAGACTCTGACTGACCAATCACACCACAGGGGGCGTGGCCTCATAAACCAAGCAGCCACTCATGCCATGGAGTTGTGACTTCACACAGTGACCGACCAATCACACCAGAGATATTACTGTGATCACTAACTGACCAATCGCAACATGGGAGGCGTGGCCTAAAACACAGCCACTTTGACTGGGCCAATCAAGCGATGGGGGGCGTGGCTTCGCTTAAAGGGGACATTGTCTGGTATTTTTGTCATGCCTGCCCGGTGTTTTTCCCCTGTTGCACTGTGGGGAGGGGAGTATTTAACAACTCACTGCACCTATTTTTAGCTTAATCTCCCATCCCAATTTCTCAGTCTCTGGCCCTTTAAGAAACTTGGGCGTGTCCCCTCTTGGAAAGGCGTGTAGTTCTTGTTTGTGGAGGACTGGGTGGGGGGGGGTGTAGAGAAGAAGCTGCCCCTTTAAGAGTTGCTCGCGAGTGAGCCTGATATATCCTCTCCCCAGGCCACCCTGAGTGACTGGGGACAGGCCTGGGAGCCAGGACTCCTGGGTTCTCTCCCCGGCTCTGGGAGGGGAGTGGGGGGCTGGTGGTTAGAGCGGCG